ATTTCGTGATGTTTCGAGATTGGTGTGGCAAGGCCCTTAGTTTGCAATATTAGGCAAGAAAAGACAAAGTGGCGCTGGTGTCATGGTGTCATGGTGTCAGTATAAAAAAAAAGTGCAGCGTGGAAAACTGCGCCAGTCATTACACCTGCGGTGGCGCTTGGCAGATTTAGGGGGGTCTCCTTTTTTGCACCATAATTTTGGGAACTGCTAATTTAAAACCGCCAGTACTTGGCCCAGCTATCGGCCGCAGAAAAAAATAGAGTAGAAACGGTTCTAGTTGGATGAATTTGGGCGCTCCTGTAGTGGCCCGTACTTTTCCTAAAATCGCGTAAGACTTTAGGAAGCACTGGTGGTTTAAAGTTGTCTATCATTCTGAACATTGGGTGTGACTCTAACATACTTGCCAGGGCAAGTCGCCCCTTTATTTTTTATTTATTTATTTATTTATTTATTTTTTTGGAACCTCAGTATTCCTGATGTGAGGTTAGAAGTTGTTCTATGAATCTTCCTGAAGTTGTTTTTTTTTTTTTTTTTTTTTTTTTTAATGAAAGAAAAGTTTTATTAGGGCGCAGTGGCCAAGGCAATATACACAGCATGGAAACAGCTACAGATTCAGGGGCTGCAAGGTCTCCAATCCTTCTCTGTGAATCTTTCTTAATCTTTTGGATTGATGTTAGTAGCCGAAGCGGGTTAGTGGCCCCAGTATCTACAATGGTTGGCTGTATTTTCATATGGGATGTGGATGCTGGGCCCGGGTCCTCGCACATATTGCTCCCCAACAAGAGATTGGGGCATGGTCCCGGTAAACCACCACTACGTTTCCCACTGTCGGGAACTCGGGAGAATTGGCTACACCTAAAAAATAGGGGGTTGGGCGCAACAACGGCTGCCGTTGATAAATCTAATAGGTGGCTCTCGTTTTGTGTGGATTGACTGACAAGTGAGAAAACTCGACGCAATCATCATAGAAATGACAAAGTCAAGTATCTCAGTACACAAGAGTACAGCAAGATTGCAAGCCCGTGGGTATGGCGACCCCTATACCGGTTTTGATCACAGCCACGCGGTCATTATCAGGGGACTATCCACCACACTTCTCCCTCTGTCAAAACCGCTAACCATTTTCCCACCTCCACGACCCGTGTAGCATCTCTGGAAGCTTTGCGGGCTTTCGTTTGTCGGACCGAGACAGGAGGTCCACCCGAGGACTACATGGAGAAAGGTAGTGATGCAAATTTAAAACAAAAACGAAAAACAAAAAAAACAAAAAAAACAAAAAAAACAAAAAAACGTTCCCTTTAAAACAAATTTATAACCCCGTTCCCCCCCGCACTTGACAGCCAACTCTAAAAAAACGAAAAGAGACCGGACTTGGGGTCTTCTGGGAGAGCACAGAAAACCAAAAAATACATATATATATGTATATATATATATATATATATATATATCGTCAATATATATATATATATCGTCAAATAGAACTGCCCGGTAAACCGTAGGCAGAGAGGGAGAAGAGGACAACAAAAGAGGGGCTGTGACAAACTGTTTCGTCGGAGTTTCACCGACTCATCAGGAGGCTGAACCCTCAACAGTCTG